GACGGAACACCCTACATGATGGCTAGACACCATCATGACCTCGAATCAACGCGGAGAAACTGTGACTGAGATAGTGATTCGACATATCGTTGCAGATCATGGTATACCACAGACGATACCAATAGGTCAGGGTCCTTACTGTGGAAGTGAAGAAATTACATCCCACTTGCAGCCATTAGGTATTAGGAAGATTAGGACAACACCATGTCATCCACCATCTAACGGTCTAACAGAGAGAAATAAACAGACACTAAAGGAGTGGTTGGTGTCAAAGGGAAGTAACTGGGAGATGGAGCTTCCATTGATTCCATCAGTAAGTCGTGCTTTCGCCCAGGAAACAAGAGCGTTACGGCAGGAAACCGCCACTACCAATACACAATAAGGCCTGGTCGCATCACCGGTGGAGTGTGAAGTAGGAAAAAGAATGGAAAGAAGACGTCAGGAATGTGAAGCGTAAACGGAAGATTGACGCTGCAAAGTTTGAGCAGCGAGAAAAGAAGAAATGCATGAGATTTGAAGTCGGGGATTAGATAAGATGTAGAGAGGAAAAGTACACTATTAGATACAGACCAGGTTCACAAAAATTCCTTCAAAGTGGGAAAGACAATACACTGCCAGTGACAGATGTGATCTTATTTGTACCAGCAAAAAAGGAGACAAACAGAAGTGTGTTGATGCCAACCAACTTCAGTGATGCATATAGTGGGGTAAAAGAGTAGGTACTAAGACACAACAAGAACGGGTATCACCAAGAGGACGAAACGGCCATGCTCGCGATTTTGGATGGCACACGAGTGTGGAGTGTACTACTGACAATAATTTGTATACAGTCTATTGGTGACGCCTTCTGCAGGAATTCTGAACAGCGGAGTGACAGATTAAGTTTCAAAGAGGTAAAGTGAATATCATTACGAGACCATATAAAAGGCATGAAATGAACACAAAAGATGTATAATATCAATAGATTTCACTAATTAAAGTTTCAACGTAACTTTTTATATTTTTCCCTCACTATACGTCAGTTTGCAAAATAAGCGATTCTGCCATCAAATACCACTGTTATATCATTACAAGAGTAAAATCTATTCAAAACTCTCTTTCGTCATACCTGGTAACTCGTTAGACAAAACTACCGAATTTCAGTTGATTTGTCATACTACATAGAAACTTCTAATGTCTTAGGTTATCGGTACTTGAAACAGCAACCACAGATTGTGTATTTAGAAGCAGTTCATACAGCAAATATCCCTCCCTTGGCGGGAAAGACCTAACTAATTATATTCCAACTTTATATAATTTTAATCCCTTTATTACACCTTGATTTAAATTCTGTTTATCTACTTCCACTGCATTTTAGTCTTATTATTTATTTTTAAATCTGTAGTCTACTATGCCTGTTTGAACATCTGTTGGCAAAATTATGCAGCTGTAACTGATCTCGCCATCACACACTTCATCATTCATCACTACTGTCAATGTTATTATTATGACTACGAATAATTACATGATTTGTATCTATCTTCCCTTCCCAGTGCCAAATTACCAAGACTAGTTTATACTCAGTGTTTACGTGTAATGTTATATTTATTGGAGTAAAACCTAAGAAAATTTAGTTGAAAGTAATATTGTCAGATTACACTTGAAACAAATATATAAACTACTGAGTGGATCCAGTTAAAGTATTGCATTCCAAGGAAGACTCTAGCCGAACACCTCTTACTTGGGCTTAAAAATACTTATTTAAGTGATCGTAGGAATACCGTCTATTAAAAGATGAACACAAACTAATTTTTCCAATAACTTATGGTAAATTCAAAAGAAATACTACGCTTCTCCAAGTCAGCTTTTTATGTGATACAGAAAACAATGACACAGTTCCATTTACTGGATTACTACTGATTGTGAAATTTAAACTGACTCACACAAAATTAGTCTACACCACAGTGGTTAAGTTCTACGCATACGAGTCAGTTTGTACTGAATATAGTAACTGTCTAATTTGGATATAAGGATAGAACTAGAACACTGTGGTAGAGTATAATTCCATAAAATAGTAAATTTATTTGATAGAAGTACACGTGTCATATGGTTATAAGCACTAAATTGTTCTTGAAACGTCTAGTATAGACATTTCAGTACCACATTTGAGTGGCCATTCAAAATAACTAGATGATACGTTTAAGAACGCTGTTCTTCAAAATATAAGAAACAGAATGATATGTGTCACTCATTGAAATTTCAGAAGATTAGAAATTTAAACTTGAGCGCACTTTTTGTCATCTGATATACATGTACATATATATTAGATTATTTGCAGTAATGACATATAAACTTCAGGTATACTTCCTTGTATTAGCTGAAGATAAATGCCAGAAAACATATTAATACATGAAAATTAAAGGTTAAAAGAAAGCATCAGTTTCCATCTGCCTGACACAGCAACGTCCTTACGATTTTCAGAATATGCCTTCAATACTTATCGAAACCATACCTTGTCATTAGACTTATAAACACATACATGGTGTACTTCTGTGGAAATAAAAACTCATCTGCTACCGGAGCTTAAACTCTAAGAAGGGATTCTTTCAGTTTAAAATGAGGGTTGTTGAAAAAACATACAGTAGCAATAGACAGTTACATTTAATGTTAAGGAGTAAGGGCTTTTTTGCTCGGAATAAAAGTTAAGTTTTAGACATTGGTAATATAAAGATAACCATTTAAAACGAAACCTGAAGAACGTGGAGTTAAGGAGGGAGATCTATTAATCTTAAGGCTTTACTTCCTTTAGTACATTTGAAAATAGGTGTCTTCGGTAAAATGTGCCATATGAATAACGGAAGTACAACAAGTATTTCAGAAGTAATGACTGGTTGAGGTCATCCGCTATATTCCCAGAACATAAGATATTACTCAAAATGGAAATCAGATATCATCAGTGCATTTGGATAACCTGGCTATATTTCCTACTACTCCAGTAAATACAATAAATCTGGACTATTACTGATTAGGGTGGTTCTATAATTACATTGCCATAAAACCCTCACCTCGTCATAATTACTAAGTAACTTTAGGCAGCCAGCAATAGAGTTCTTGAGAAGATTCAAATCTGATATCCAGAAAATAACTCAAATGCACTCTTTTGGCAGTGAAGCTATTAGCACAACACTTGCAATAAGTATGTTCCATCTAAAAACAGAGTTTCATGTTATAACCCACACTGGGTTGTAGATGAAAGGATTCAAAAATGTAACACCTCAATAGGAAATAATTTAATTGAGGGTTGTTCGGAAAACCAACTAAAATAAAAGCAATACAACCCACATGGGAATCGAAATTAAGAAGTGTGCTATTTAAATATTACAGTTCTTAAAGAATATCTTCTTATAAATGTCATCTTTGGACTGTCACAAGTTTTATGATCTCTTTAAAGTTATAGACGGCGGTAGAAATATAGTATTATGCAGTCAGATGACTCATAAAAGGTTTAGTTAAATGTTCAGAAATGTAGCAACGAGAAGATACTGTGTAAGTGTAGCTACAAGAGCTTTGTAGCATGATGTAAGTTACCTTTCAGTCTATATTTTTTAAAATTTTTTTTATTACAGCTTGATTCCACATAGTATTTTTTGGTACAGGTATGGAATTTTCAGCATGTGATATCGGTAGCCCAAATTTGCATGCCGACCGTAGATATCAGGTGTGCGTCGGCAGGGGATCGAACCCCCAACCATGTGCATGGTCAGCGAGAGTCCTAACCACTGTGCCACCGACGCACATATGAAGTCAGAGATGGTTAAGCTAATGTGAATAGGTATTCTCACATCTAATTCATCGTACAGATGAATACAGAGATATCCTGTCACTACACACTCAGACATTATACTAGCATAATATGTATTAACCGAAACAAAGAAACCTATTATAAGCGATGAAATATGAGGACATTACATTGTTAGTAGTGAAACAACACTGCTATCCATGGAAATACATGATAAATTTGAGACTTCAGGTAATTAAGTAATGTGATTTATGTAATTTCATCCGTCAAAAATAGGGACAATACATGGAATTTTCATAAGATTAATTTATATTGTGTATACTAGAAAGAATCAGTTATATGCAGGGTTCTAGAGCTTCCATTCAACATGTGGGCTGTGTATATCTAAGCTTCTTCGGATCATGGAAGCAATCGCACATTTGGTTTCATGGGGCATTAAATATAATTTCCATTACTAGAGATAAGTCAAGTGCCTAAATTAGTAACAATATATATGACTCTCATGAAGCTACATAGCAGTTGAAATAAAACGCCACAATATAGTATTTAACTGATTGGAGAACACATGAGCATGTGCGCAGTATATAGTTTTGAGCTTCTATAAACGATTTATTCTTAATTTTATTGGTGAGAGTTGTACCGGTATATAGTCGGGAGAACACCGGTTGTCTAAAGTACCTATCACGATGCGATATTCAGCAACAGTTATTTCTTCCGATCTGTCAGTTAAACTGGACGCTGAAAAAGGTTTTGTTCTAGCAACATTTGCGAGTGATAAGAAATGACGGTCCGCAAGTTATAAGTGCAAATAGATCAAATCTCATGAGTTACACAAAGCTCAATACTCCAGAGAGGAAAATAGAAAGACCTATCTTCCCAACTTCAAAACGTTTCCTACCACGTCTGTTGAGATATTGAATGACTTCGACTAAACATCCAGAGAAATCACGAGGTAGCACTAGTAAAAACTTATAAAATGAGACCACTAGAAACGATAAATATCCCGGAAAAATAAGATTATAAATAATTGAACAAACTTATTGGAAGGGCATAAAGGTATTGCACGAACACTGACGACCATTCACACTAATGTATGAAGCATATTTATATACATCAGAAACAATAACCATAAGTAAAAAAAATTGATAAAATTTCGTCAATCCACTGAGTAACCCTTAATAAACATCAAAAAATCTAATTCTTTCGTAATAAATGTAGTTACCGAACATTTTTCCTTCATCAGAAATGATGATTTTTCTCCTTCCACAAGGTGGGTATATAATTAAAGCCTCACGAAAACTCTGCTCTATTTCTGGGGACCAAACACTATCTTTGGATTCGTCTCTTGTTTCTAAATCATCTTCTTCGTCCTCCGAAACATACGAAATTTTGTCAGTTGGTTTCGGATTAACAACGGTTTTTTTATTCGACCTTATGTTGAAACCACTATCTTCAATCATTGCGCTCAAAGTCGTTTAATGTTTGCACACGCCAATGTGACCTTGTGGTTAGCTGATTAAAACGACTGGAGTGTCATTCTAGGTGAAAACTTGACTTCAAAGACAATCAATTGATGAATTATTTCTTCATAGAGAAGTTCATTCTGAAATCTCATAAGGCTATTATAAAAAACCACTTTACACTTGACAGTTATGATAGACTAATTGGTACAGAAGTTTAAATAAGTGTTATTAGTCTCTGGGTAGACGCAGTTTTCTAAAGTCAAACTCTGTTATCTTAAGCTGAGTCTTTCCAGTGGGAACCTGATTTCTGCCTATGTGTGTAATGAGGTGATTCCCAAATTCGGATATTTGTATAGTGACGCATCTGGAACATTAATAAATTGTTTTCTGCTATTAAAATCAGGACATGAGATGCTTTTCGTCGAGATTATTATTACTCTTTTCGGTGTCAGGTGGAATTTAGGGCTTCAACAGCACGTCTATATTCTGTTCCTATGTTTCTGAGGCCGTCTTCAGCTGGTCCTATGGTTGCCCGTAGTCTCTGACCTCCTCTTCAGATGATCTTCTCCATGCCACCTACAGATGCCCCACTCGTTGTTTCCTGTTCTGGTCCCATTCGGGTGATGACCTGACTTACGCGAGGTGTCATTCAACGGTCTCGTCAGCATGTGCTTAATTCGTCTCCATTTGCTTCCACATATTTGTTGAGCAATGTGTCCTTGGTTGGTTTCTTGTTGATAATTCTTTCTGGCTATCTGATCTTTAATATGGAGAAGCGAAGGCATCAGTTGCTAAAAGTTTGTAGTAGCCTGCTGTAAATGCTTTTCGTGACTCACGCGGAAAGTTTCTGACCCATATAGAAGCATTCACTGGCGTAATATTGAAGTTGGAAATCCGAATCTTGTTCCTTATGCTGAGTGGAGAATATTCCCAGACTGATTTCAGAGTGATGAAGGTGTACCTTACCTTTCTGATTCTGATTTTGACATCACCATAGGTTCCATTTGTGGCTGAAACAATTCTTCTTGCATGAGTGAATGAAGTAACCCCTTAAATTTTTCCAGTTGATGGTGATTTGTTTTTGTTGGTTATCTTCATCATTTCCATCTTCTCAATGTCCACCTGAAGTACTGTTCTAGGAAACCAGTTAGTTAGACTGCTTACACATATTTGAGATCACTTCCGGTTGCCTTCAACTAGAAATAACGCTAACGATTGTTGTGCGACCGTAAACCCTGCTGGAACTGACTAAAGCCACACTACCTGCTGACTCTTTAGCCTGGCCCACCTAACCCAGTCTGACTGCCCTCAACAACACCGTAACTAGCGAAAGGAGAATATAACTCTTATGGTTGCTGTAAGACGAATTTATTGGCTATAATTTGGAGAGAGTATACAAGTAGAAAATCCCACTATAACCAAACTGCCGAGCTGTTTTCCCCTGAAGATAATTCTGACCTCCATACGTCTCCGTCCACATGGATACGCAAATAAATCGGTGTATAGTGGTTCGAATTAGGAAAGTGGCGTTAGTTCAAAAATAGTGTCCGCTCAACAGTGATAGCCTAGCTCTTTTATATGTGTAACCTTCGACTTCCTCCTTTGTTTAGACGGTAGTTAATTATAAAGTGTTTCGACCCGAGTTTGTGTTCTGTTTTACAAACTTTATCCCAGCGCGCTTGACATATTATTGTCTGTGCTGTTTTGTCACAGAACATAGTGGGCCTACAAAACTCGTTGAAATCAAAGCGAAGTAAGAAGAACCTGGAATCTGTTGATATTACTTGCACACATGTACATGAGAACAATAACAAAGTGTCACCAGGGTAGTCATCAACCTCATCGATTCCGCCGGCCTCAACGTCTGCCACTGATATGGTTTACACAATAGTAGCAGCATTCCAAACAGCTTTGATGACCTCTGACACAAAAGAACGGTAGCCAAGTAACAAACCAAAAGTGAAATTCCCCGTGCCAGAAAAGTTTGTCCCAGGAGAATCGTCCACTTTATAGGAAGATTAATGTCAACGATACATTCAACAATTCGATGAGAACAAAGAGAATACATTTATTTGTTCCCATCTATGTAGGACACACCAGTTGTGCAGGCATCGATAAGCATTACTTATATTACATGAATTTGATTTATGGTGAAGTCGCATGGTTGCTGTAATTTCTGACATTAGTTTACGAGTACAATCTGCTAGCTACGCATTCAATGGAGGCTATCACTGTTCATTGACCATCGGTTTTTGAATTAAAGGCTATTTTGAACCATTACAGGTGAAACGGCTGGTTTCAGTGAGTTGACGAGTCTCTTTGGCCCTCTACATTAAATTATCACCCTGCTTATTCAGCCACTTTGTTGGTCTTCGTCTGTAAGTCTTCGTGTTCGTGTGGCACTAGAAATAAACCATCCCCGAAATCAGTATCTTCTACAGTCACCCTATCAGTCCAATGTATTCCTTTCTTGTCGTTCGCCATGCATCATATGTTGCATAACCAAATCCATATTCAGGAATGTCTTCGGAGATAGCAAACAACTCTGTTTAAGTCGCGTATTCACTTCAAGGCTTCCCTGAGTCTTTCGTTGCTAATCACTAGACATATTACATTGCTTTACAGCTAATAAATGAGGTTAACAGGGATTTGGAGCACTGCACTTCATATTGCTGAAGTAGTTTTCAGATTACTTCACTGCCAACACTGCTGAAGTCTCTTTCAAATTGAATGAGACCGCATTAAAGATTTGACTAACATCTTATTCATTATTCGATAGTGATGTATATAGTGCCAATTTGATCCGCACTGATATGCTTTTCCTGAATCCAGCTTGTTCCGGTTGGCGGATTTCTTCAACCAGTGCATCTTTGGTTCTCTTTAGGATGATGCGACTTGACGTTTCACTTTGCGTGGGCAAGTGTATGATTCCGCGTCAGTTCTTTCAAAGGCTGAAGCCGCTTTCCTTCGGTACTTTGGCAAGGGATCCTTTTTTCCAGCCAGTGGGTACCCTCTTTTCCTTCCAAACTTTGTGTAGTAGGTGCGTGAACATATCCGTCGCCGTCTCTGGATCCGTTTCCAGTGCTTTAGGGGAAATGCCGCCTGGTTTAACCGAATACGACAAAAAATAAATGCTAACCGCAGACTTCTCGCTAATTTTTTACATTGAGAGGTATTTTTGTTTCTCTTGTTAGCACTAGATCCATCGTATTGATTGCAGCCTGACCTTTGAGTCAAAAGAATACAGCCAAAAACATAGTGGTGTCAATAAGGTTGTGTTCCTTGAAATTTAACTTGATATCGACCTATTTTTTCTTTTATTTGCACTCGTAGATATCAACGAATTAGTCGTTGAAGGTTGAATGTTTGAGGCTCAGCTTGATTGTAGTATACCAACAATCCTTCAATTAATGAATGGTCTTTCACATTATGCTTGAACACTAGTTCTATAAAAACCCTTTTTTAAGCGGCTTCTCATATTTCACTGAATACATTCCTGCATGAAGAGAAAATCAAAATGTTTTCTCGCTTTGTATACACACCTGAAAACTGATGTGATTTACTGTTCCCCCTTGGACTCTTTTTGCGTGGTTGAGCAAAAATGCCACTGAACGAGTGTATTTAATTGTGAATTTGCATATTGCGAAACTATGAATTTTAAATACAGTGATGTTTATGATTATCATGCCTCATTTACTTCACACTTTCATGGACCCCATTAGAGTTTGTGCTTATTATGTTACACTTCCGGCCATCTGCATGTTTAGGCATATTTGTGAAGCGCCTGGAGACATTGTTAGAAAACTTTCTGATCAACATCACAGAAAGTTATTCTCTAAAATTTGATCTCGCAGTAACCATCAGTAAAACTTGGGGAATAACTAATTATTTTGCTGGTTACGTTGAGAGGTGGATGTAATTTTATTCGGCACTACCAGCAGGATTAGTAAGCATATTTTTCCGCCAATCTTTCGTCATATTAATCACTAACAATGTGAAACATGATATGATATCTTCCTTGAAATGTTTCCTGCGACAGTAATGGCGAAAGTATGGGATGCTTTTACGTCAAGATATTTAGGTTGGAATTTCGCTGCAAGTCACTAATACCTTAACGATATTTGGCTGACGTCTAAAATAAATAATTTAAACCTAAAGTCAAACGATGACTATAAAGTAGAGTCTGTATGAGCTAGAAAGATCTAGAAAATTAAAAGGAATATATTTCATAAATTTATTTAAAAAGAGATCTATGAGAAATAGGTACCCAAGAGATTAGACGATACTCCCAAGAAGATGACTAAAGGTGTGATGGTATACCGCAGTCCTCTCAGAGCACATATGCTTGATAGGAGACTAAAATTCGCGACCTTCGGCTAGAATTCTGTTCTGCGGCTTATCGTTATTCGGTTTTTTGATATTGGCTATGAAGTTTTCCTTCCTGAGCACCGACAGACAAGCATAATAACAGATATCCAGTAGGAATGTCTATATGTGCTGCGTCGATTCATAATAAAAACTCCCTTTGGAACTGCAAAAAATCGACATAGCATACCTCCCATTGGTCGCAGGGTTTCAGTTAATCATTTTGGGGTCTCTTCTCACATCTTTCTAACCTGACATCTGATGAGTAACATAGTCGGATGATATCATCATGTGCTGTGCTAAATGGCAAACCGTTCCAATGGAAGCGGCAACTCGCCCAAAGTGCAAATTATATGACTTATCTTGCACCTGTGAATGTCCGGATTTCGGTCATATTCTTAACTAGTCAAAATAGTACCACACTATTCTCGAGTTTTATTCAGTTTGAAAATTTTTATTTGTAAAACATGCTTTACAATATTTGCAACTTCTACACAGTTGTACAGACGTTCGAATGGAAAGCGAGTTATACGGTAATACCTATGGTGCCTGCATGGTATTCTTTAATACGACTCTGCCTATCATATATAGACTAGAGGCAGTTAGAATGCCAAGAAATGGTAACAAGATAGAGCAAAACTCAGCACCGACGCATAGCGA